CTCCGCAAGGTCGTTTATGAACACGAGGAATAACCGTGGTTTTATTATGGTGCCTTGAGGGACGCCACAAAGAAACTCTATCGGTTTGGACAGTGTGCTATGAAGCTGTACATTCAAGCGTCGTTTGAATAGGAATGAATGAATCCAGCCTTGGATAGGGTCACCGATACCGTAGCTCAGAAGCACTTTAAGAAAAATCCGATGATCAAGACTACCAAATGCCTTCGAGAAATCAAGGTAAGCAGAGTCAACTGCTTCTCCAGCGTCGGCGGATTCCGTCCAGCTAGCACGGGCTAACGGGGAGATGCGTGGTACGTGAGCGCTTTTGACGGAATCCATGATGTTCTTGCATAATGATATGGCACATTGCAAACTATCCCATAATGCATCTAAAACGACAGATCCCCTGAGTTTAGCAAGTACAGGAAGAAGTGTAATCGCGCGGTAGTTGTCGGGTACTGTACGATTGCTATCCGGAACAGGTGAATTGTACTCGTATAGGGATGTCTGTCGCTTCAGCAAATCCGCGGCTGTGAAGGAGATGTGGCCAAGTCCCGGCGGTGATGTCATATGTGTGAGAATGATATGAGATGGTGATGCTTCCTGAAAAGTGCAAGAGAACTGAGGTCAGAGCATTAGCGGCTTCTTGGGTACTTCGCTCTTACCCACAGGTGGTGTTTATAGGAGGGATGACATGCTGTATTTGGCGAAGTTTGTTAACACACCAGTAGAGTTGCGTAGGATAGTCGCAGAAGTTCTTCGCTGCATCCTGTTGGTGTTTCAACTTATCTTTGCTGGCCAGTGTCACACAGTGGTTTCGCTCAGTTATGTAAGCGGGCCAGTTCCCGGCGTAGGAATAGGATTGGTCCACTTTCCATAATGAATCGGTCGTGACCCTTCGTTTCCGCGTCCAGCTCCTTAGGAAGGATGTCGAGATTTTTAGCTCAGGATATTAGTCTCTGATACGTTTGTCACTAAATCGTTGAACTGATTGCCAAACTTTCTCCAAGCCACATCGGGGTGGTGTTCCGTGGAAAAGACTAATCCGTGATCTTAATGTTGTCGGACAAAGTGTTGTGACGTGTTACTATGCAGACTACTTCGATTTTTATGTTGGACTGTTCAACGTGGCAGACGTAGCGGAAAAGTAGCGTTACATATTACTAACACTCCAGGAGGCTACCTACTGTCCCCATGTCGACCATAGGTTCCTCATTGGTGAAGACGAGGTTCAACATGGTCGACCTGTACCCGGTTTGGACTCTAGCGGGGGAAGTAACCTGTTTATAGAGTGGTACGCCAGCCAATAAATCTTGTGGTTCGGCCTTAAACTGTTTGTCGCGTGAAGCCGAACATCTAGTGTGTGCAAGTTAAAGGCTTCCACAAGCAGAACGAGAATATCAGGTTGAGCAAGAACCGTTTTCAGTGCAAAGGACAGACGGTTGTCCATTTCCAGAGTCAACGTGGGAGAACGCTATATGAGGGCAACTAAAGATGGCTCACCCCATCCTAGTTGCAGGCGACACCAAAATGAGTCCGCAACTTGAGAATCTGGGTCGTCAATGACTTGCAAATGCAGATCACTGAGGTGGCACAAGATTACGCCACCTCCTCTACTAGGTCCGTCATTACCTAGGACAGACATACCGGATAGAACGATCTCCGCCTCCGTGAGTTTGTCATTCATTCACGTTTCTGTTATCATTGTTGGATCCAAATGCAACTAAGCTTGACGAGCTTGAATATCGGATAACGTTTTAAGAGGTCGTGAGCATTAGTATAATTACAAGAGTGTGCTTCGAAAGTAAGAACAGTGAACGATGATTTATTACGGGATAAAAGCAAGTGCTTGACACGTCCTGTAGGATGGTTGGGGTGAATACGATGAAAGCAAATATATGTGGGCCATCTACCAAACATCTGTCGAGATGAATAGTTTGATTAATAACATCGTATAAAATTAAAAAAAGTCGAGCGTAAAGCTTCAGAAATGCACATGGGTGCAGTGGTCGTTAATAGAAGGATGTGAATGTCAAATCCGAGTTGCTGCCGACCCTTGTGAGGTCGGTAACTAATCGTTCTTTGGTGAACTGCTGACAGTAAACCCAGAGCCGCTTCATGTTGGCTGGTATAATGATCACATGATGAAGTTCTGGCTTCAGAAGTAGTGGGAAAGTCGCTGCCGATCCAGCACTTGGTTGTGCTCCGCAGTTGGCAGCTTATAAAATAAGACTAATTGGACTCACTGTCAGCCATAGGTGACTTTGCTCCCTCTTAATCATCTGGGATCTGGTCTTGAACGCTTTTAGTCCCAGAGCTGTGGGAAGCTTCTGACGACACTTATGTCAGGTTTCAAGTGCACTTTCCGCCATGTGTTTGGACTGTAGCACAACTTACATCACCTTGGGGCCACACCGTTTGTACTTTAATGATGAGGATAGCCATAGGCTCGATTTGGCTATCACGCTGTCGGGTGAGAGTGATTGATGTAGTTAGCACCATTCCACCCAGTCTTGGGTTTAGCCTTCACGGTCATCAGATGCTTGTAGTTCTGGTACACCATGAATAGAGATTGACTTTTCGTTGTTCTGATGGTGGTAGTTAACATGGTTCTTTTCTCTTTGTTGGCGCTCTTTCCAAGGGACGTCAGGAAAATTCCGTATGTCGCATGGGTCAGTCCGAAGGCTGGTGGCCGCTAAAAGAACTGCCTCTATATCTTATTCTATTTATAACGTCACACGTCACAACCGTGTCTCCCAGTAATGAGTTGAGTGCCGTGCAATGTGCACCATGCTAACCGGCTTAGCTTAAAAGCATGATAATAGACAAACATAATCCCACTGTTTTCGGTCGTCCAACATTTTGTCTTTTATGATGTTCACCTTAGATTCAGGAACACTGCAGACAACGATCATCAGCGGCCCATGTGTTCATTTTGAAGTAACTGGTTTGTGAACGAATGGGATGTTAATTTTCCGCGGAGTGAAGCGCCAATGTGTGCACTTCTGGCGCACTGTATGATCGCCTCAGGTGTAGTCATAGATTTTGCTGCTGGTGCTTGAACAGTGGTAACGAACAAGTATGTATTCACGCCTACAGCGCGTGGTGGTACAGCGTGCTCCACAGAGTTGTCGTTATGCAATATCAACTGGGCCGGGATAGGAATCGCCGTGGTAGGTGGAGCTAGGTTGTTTTTTGGATTCGAACTGAAATTGTTCGTGTATCTAACTTCGCGCTTTTACCCTTACCAACGGTTCCGCGACTATGTTCAGCTGTGGAGCCTTGGATGCCGAACCCTGCGGCGTTTGAATCTGAAGGGTAGCACTTACGAGCCTCAGATTCGTCAACCATCGCCACTATGTTATGACATTTCTGCGTCAAATTGCTATGCATTTAATAAGTGGGAAGGCCATACAGTCAGTTTGGAACCAAAGTGCTTCTTTCATGGTCCTCCATTTCACGCTTGGCGTGATAATATATAGTGCATCCAGAACACAAATAACAGACCGAACTGTTTTCCCACAGCCGCAAATGCTGCTCGTTTGCGTCTCGCTGTTCTTCTTAACGAGTTCAACTTCATTTCTTATCATGTTCATACTTATCTCTGATCTCGGAGATGAAGTGGGGCAATCCTCCACACGTGCACACACACAATGCACAATTGCACACACGAGCTTACGGGTTCGGGCGACTGGTCCTCTGAACTCGGCAGGCGAGCTGACGCTAGGCGTGACCCGCACAAGTGCCACGAAGCAGGAATGGACGACGCGGCGGTCTCCGATCAATAGCGGATGAGGAAAATCGCAAACGTGGATGCCTTGCGGGATCGGTTAGTGGATAAGCAGCAGTAAACTGGTGACTGCAAAGTATTATGCAGCGCCTAAACCTGGTATTGGACGAGCAGGAGTTTTTTCTCTCGTATGGTCTAGAAAAAGCCTGTTCAAGTGGAAGTAAGATCCAACGGGAAGTTGAAAATGAAGCGATTTTGCTCTTCGTTAACATCTCCGTCGAAATTGCCGAAAGTGAATAGGATGTTGAAGCGCTGGAGATAATCCGACGGTTTAATAGCTACTTTGTGGAGTTGTTAAATCCGAGTGGAAGGAGTGGACGCTCGATACTGAGCAGTAAACTGGGGAGGGATAACTCATAAAATAGTCGCGAGCTTTGATGTGGTCCGTTTGCACAGCACATGTCAAGTCAGACGTCAAGGGCACGATTATTTCCTGACCGGATTTCCATCTTGTAGCAGATATAAGCCTCCAGGTTTGAATAAACAGCCCTAAGGCCGGATTTACCCACCATTTCTGTTGGTTCATTGCTACTCCAACTGCTGCTATGTTGCCGACTTTTAGTTCCAATAAAGCGTAGAACGTTTTCATGATAATGCTGGGGAATAAAGTCTACTCGCCGGATCTCGAGCTAACGGTTTTCCAGCGATTCCCGGTCACTCTACTCTGATGAATTTTTTGTCACACTGCTGTTCCGTCTTCAATTTTGTTTGACTTAGTAAAGGTAGGTAGGGTGTAGTACAGCGAGGCTACGCCTGCTGACGAACTCAACGGCCACAATTTCATGTTCAGACTGGGGCAGTATGGGACAGGCATAACGTGTGACGGTTTTTCAGTCTGATGCATCTACACAAATAAGCTTCCATATAACAAGCTTTCAGTAACACATTTTGAACTCTTAATTTCCAACTTTTCAGACACACTGCAAACCACTACATTTTTCGAACATGGCACTCGGCTGTGTACCTCTGTTGAACTTACATCGATAAAGGAATTATGACTCTCAGAACACTTTACCTCAGTTTTCAGAGGAGGGTCCACGAAACTAGATAATAGTTTCATAAGAACAATCATGATCATAAGGCTTTCGAATTTTAATCTCAGTTGAGTAAAATAAGCGTGAATTTTGTTGGCATCTCCAGATGGTATGTGTGGGCTCTCAGTGAGAGAGCTAGAACGAACTTTGCTCTTACTTACTCCGCTCTTACTTACTTCTGAGGCATCATGACTAATCGCAAGATAGTAACAGAGCACTCCCCGATTTGCTTATAGAAAATTTGTACGTGAGCAAGCTAAACTGTTGGTAAAGAATGTCTCGTGTGAATTGATCTGCTTCAACACTAAGTCCCGATGAAGGCCGTAGCCCTGCCTTAACCTCGTGAACCCGCTGTTAGTGGAACATGTATCAGGGTTGAAATACACATGAGGAAACGTGACTTGCGGCAAATAAACTAGGATATTAATTCATTCACTTAACTTCACCGACTTAATGGAAGCGACAAAACAGATGCGAAAATGCCAAGCGGATGGTAGAACGTCCGGTCACACATCAAGAACAAAACAACGGGTTTGAGTATCTTGCGACATTCGACTAATAAATAGTAAGCAATAAACGATGTATTGTGGTGATAACAAGGATATCAGTCACTTTTTGAACTTCAAGATCGATAAGCAAACATTCGTGAGCAGATAGCGCCTACTCGTTAAGGTGTGTCTCTCGGATCTACACGTACGCAGGAAGCCACGGCCAAATTACGGTAGCAAAACTTAACGTTCATGTTGAGCGGTTAAGTGAGATGATATTTTTCGTGAAGATTCTTTGCATCTAGACTCAAGCAGGTAGCCACCACACATCCTGGAGGACATTGAAAGGCCGTGTTGTCCTAATGAGACTCGTCAGCAGCTCGCAGCGGCCGAATCCTACCGGATTCGAAACTATGATTTGGCTCTTATGAATTAGTGCCTTATACCACTGATCAATGGGTGAAGGCAACGGACCACCATTACTGGTATCTAACTATGATACAACGCGGCTTGCAGAGGAAGTCGTTGCGCTGGGGTCAACCTTGTCCTCTGCACGTTCATCGCATGCATGATAGTAGAGAAGGAGCCGCGCTATATCGCAACTAGATTTGAGCCATAAATATCCCTTGCTCTCACCTTTGGCTCCGTATCATAAGTCTCTGACTCTTAAGAGTAAGGCCATGAGTTCGAATCCGACGGGATTCGGCGGGTGCGCGTCGTTGACGAGTTCTTACAGGACGAAACGGTCGTCTAGCGCTTATCTGCATGTGTATTGGCTTTCTGCCATAGTGCAGCTGCGTTGAATCTTCACAAACTACCCAATAAACCTCGTACTACTCATTAGTACTGAGAAGACTTCACACTCGCTTATCGGCTGGTTATGCTGGCCTACGACATCACCTGTCAGCATTCACCTAGACTTCGATTTACACGACTGACAAACTTCATCCCTTCTGTTTAGTTTGTATAATTGGGTAAACAATTGGCTTTACTCCATCACCTCAATGAATGGAAGGTGTTTGGGTGGTAACCTTGACGATACTGTTTCGTATATTAATTGGTTACCATGGGGTACACTACTGCTTCGAGCAACAAAGTTCTCAATGATAAGCGTAACATGCAGCCCATGAACCAACTGAGTACGATCGATGAATGCACTTAACAACATAGGAGTTTTCAGACAGCGCAAGAGACAAGATGTATGGGAGAACTCACAGTGGTCGGAAGAGGAACAGTTGGGCATATCAGTAATGGACTTGTGGTGAATTCCATTACGGTGACAAATAGTAGAAAACATTCTTCTTGTGTAAATGAAATTATTGACACGTCTTCTAAATCAGTCCATAAACCACCTGGTATGTTCCAGATGGAGTATACAGATAAATGTTAACAGCTTCCGTCATTAAGTAAATAACACGACTCAAATTGATGCAGGTTGGGTTGCAGTTTGGAACAAGGACAGAGATCCACGAAGTCGTTGTACTTAGCGCAAAATGAAGGAAGCGGTAGCACATTCGTTGTTCTAGCTCTTTGTCGATGCCGATGTTTTGCGACGGACTTCATGCTTGTTGTCCGAATGCAGCGTGACCAATGGCATCGCCCAGTTAATGAACCTGTAATTGAACATCGAAGCATAATCAACCGGATCTTGGCCCCCGCCTTACCGCGTCCATCGTGGATTGTTGATATGTGAGTTGCGGCGTCAGCGTTACGCGTACGAAACAATTGAGTAGGTTGCTGTGAATTAATCCTGCGAGTGTGCGCTCCCACTTATACATGGCGATATATGATGTTTTTGGGTAGTTCATGTTTGGTACTCGCTGCATACCGCTGTAGCCGTTTTCGCTTTGACTCCATCGTAGCTTCTCACTCGGCGGCCCACTAAAGTGCCACTCCAATTCGATCACTCTTTAGTGCACACCTGAACGTCCCAAATCATCGAATTTGATGTGCACCCCAGTCTCATTTCACGCTGATCGATACATTCTTGTGCATTCTTCATTTAGCGCACTTTTGCGTGCGAGTCTGTCCTTCACTGGAGACGTTTGTGGTCATAAGTTGTGAGCACACATCATGAGAGGAAGAAATGGATTCTTCATCCAATATTTTCTTAATCATAGAGCTTGTTTTAAAACGGGTGCCTTGCGCGCCTATTGAGCAGCTAATCGGTAGTGGGTAGGAATGCTGCTATTTGGCTTCATATACCAACGGCCGAACTACCTCCCTGACCTGAGAAACACGAAGAAAACAATGCTGTCCTCAGTGTGAGGGCACAACGATGAAATTTTAGTTTGACACGCCACCCCTGCTTCTGAGCCAAGTATGCCTCATATACCTGGAGGGGCTCATTCTTCGCACTTGCATTATCACCACGGTGCCATTAAAAGGCAGCACGGCTGATCGCGTATTGCACTGTGAAACTTCGCTGGAATGTGAGAGTGGCCAGTGTGGTTTTAATGAACTAAGGCGAAATGCAGTACAATGGAACTGATCCGACTGTCGATCCATTGGTCACAGTTACGTGGTATGGAGTTGTCACCAGAGGTAATGGACACATGTGCCGAACATTCCGCCCACCTGCCGTGACACATTTTAATAAACAAAGCAATCCATTTTTCCTAAAGGGGCATAAATATTACTGCATAAGGGGAAATCAACAGGTATACGTTTGTACTACGTGTTAAAAATCTGAGCATATGAGAAATGTGCAATCGGCAGAGAGATCCCGCTGCGACTTCCGATCTCACGTAGTCTCGTTTAGCTCGCAAATCGTCATTTGCTGCGTTTCGCTGTGACAGTTATGTGGCGACCTGCAGTTACCATACTGTGCAGGTACACAAGTTGTTAGTCGGATTAGTGTCTAAGTCACAATGAAACAGCCGGAATACATGTGTGCATATTTGCTGCAAAATTAGCAGAAGATTTACCGGTACATTTCAATTGCTTTGCCATATATACTGGGAGGATTGTATGAGCCTTACGCAGTGCTATAAGTGATTTAAGTCTTTTAAACACAACCCGATGTCGGACGGCGACGACTCTAAGTGTGGACTATCTTCCGCATTAATAAACGATGACCATATCAAGAGATACCGTGTTGCGATCCTTGGAATGCGTCGTTTAACGACCCAAAGAGTTTGCTGACGAAGTGATAGGACGAAGTGGTAGGATCGCGCCATCAGTGTTCGACTGGTGTACTTGATATGCGCCGAGACAGTTTAGGAGTTGTGCTGCGTTTGGATGACTTACGATCAGAAGCAGAACCCGGTTAAAATCGAACAGGAACTATTTGCGACTACCAATGACAATGAAACCCACTAAGAATACTATAACAGCCCATGAGACGGGTTTATAGATATGATACTGAAACGAAGGCGCAGCCGTCGCAATGGATTAGCAAAGGTCCACCCCGTCAAAAAGGCGCGCATACGTCCGTCAAAGTGCGAGGTGATGTTGGCTGTTTTTTGACTGTGAATGCATTGTTCATCAGGAGTTTAAAAGCTGCGTTTTGGGAACCCGCTATGTGGTTGGGTTGCGACACGCAACCTCTATAGAGATCTCGGTTCACTTTGAGGTAAACCTCAGTCATTCCGATCTCGAGGATCGTATCCCGAATGGATATATTTGGGTGTTGCTCATCCCAGCACTGGCCCACCACGACCGCGGTTTCGTCCTGTTTTGGACTCATCAGGTGGCGATAGGCTGAGCTGGGGTGGAACTAAGTGCCTAGTAGTTCACGGCTTAGGCCCTGAACATTATGTTACTGAGATCCGCGAGCAACGGTTGGCACAGAGGAAATGAATTCAAAGTTGAATTTGGGGAATCTGCTGTGTGACCGGATGGTAAAACAGGGAAGTCTATCAGGGAATTCTAATGCGTTTTGGAGATGTTCTGAGAAGTACGAGGCCCGAAATCTGAGAACATATTCATTAGAGGTATTGGTTTGTCAGGTCTATAGTGAACATGTATCATTCATACTTGCAGTATTTGGAGTCAATGCAATTTATTTCTGGTTTTATCTGCCGATCGTCCATTTAGGTAAGTGATTATACATACGGATCACTTACTATCCTCGTGAGCCACGTTGTATACTACTGTCTGCCTCCGCTTACCTACCCTCCATTCTTTGTAGCTTCTGTCAATACACGTTGGGTCTAGAGGATCTAACTGTTCTCCCTACTTCCGTACTTGTCACGACTGTTACATGGCAGTTTTTGTGAGTATCATCCTAGTAGCACCAAACAATTGATGACCCTGCCTGTGAACACTGTTCTACCACCGCCGAAATCACTTTTGCTGAGCTCGTTCCTTTTCTCTTTTAAATTGCGTTTTTGCAACTTTCATTTTGTGATATTCCATGGCTCACTGATACTGTTATTTTCGGCACAGTAATTAGTGTCACCTCGCTGTCTGTTCCCCTATCCTATTCGACGTCTCTCCTTTTTGTTTTTTGTTGGAGTTGGAATTTTAGAGACAATACTATTTTCGACTAACCCCAATGTACTCATTTGTAAGGTAGCCTTGCTAGTACTTCGTTTTACAGCTCGGAGACATCCTTTCGAACCCAACTACGGATGCTTCTGATGAGTCTCTAAAGCAGGAGCTTGTGACTCGACTGGAACTACCAGCGAGTACCCGAAGCAAACAGCTATTCTACGTATTTTTGTTCGTCGCAATCAGCCGACAATTCAGATATGTCGAC